GAAGTTTAATTACTTTCTATGGTACTTTAATCCCAAATTAATATCCTTCCATTAAAATCCAGCCATAGCTACTTAGTAATGAAAACACTATGATCCATCTAAATCACTTGCACATGTGACCCTTGCTTTGAATATGACTTGTAAGATATATTAGTGTAGATACATATATACATGTAAGTATGATTATAATAATCATTATATGCTGTTGGTCAGCTATAACTGTCATTATATCCTGACATCTGACCCTGACTTATCATACTACAACATTGCAGCAGTTGAAGACAAGCCACAACTGCAGCAGTATAAACAACATGAGTGAGCAATATATCCCTGTCACAACAACAATCATATCCTCTCATGTCAATATTCACATCCCTCTCATGTCAATATTCACATCCCTCTCATGACAATGTTCACATTCCTCTCATGACAATATTCACCATGACAATGTTCACATTCCTCTCATGACAATATTCATATTTCTCTCATGACAATATTCATATTCCTCTCATGACAATATTCATATCCCTTTCATGACAATATTCACTATGACAATATTCACATTCCTCTCATGACAATATTCATATCCCTCTCATGATAATATACACCATGACAATGTTAACATTCCTCTCATGACAATATTCATATCCCTCTCATGATAATATTCACCATGACAATGTTTACATTCCTCTCATGACAATATTCATATCCCTCTCATGACAATGTTCACCATGACAATGTTCAATTTCCTCTCATGACAATATTCATATTTCTCTCATGATAATATTCATATTCTTCTCATGACAATATTCACATCTCCTAATGGCAATATTCATATTCCTCTCATGACAATTTTCATATTCCTCTCATGACAATATTTATATCCCTTTCATGACAATATTCACATTCCTCTCATGACAATATTCATATTCCTCTCATGACAATATTCATATCCCTCTCATGGCAATATTCATATCCCTTTCATGACAATATTCAACAATATTTAACAAATCCTGAACAATTTAAGAAGCTGATTTATTTTCAGCAGGCTCACAACTCTTTCAATAAGTCAAGTTAATAAATTCATTCCATTGAGAACATGTTTACTGTACAATAGATAATAAGGTCCATATTTATCAATTTCTATAACCATTGTACTGTCACAACACAGAGGCAAGTATAGAAAATCATAATGACATTGTCAACTCTTCAAAATTCTATCATTTTTCAAACTGAAAGCAACTTTTCTTTAAATGTATTGAAAATTATCAATGTGAAACATTTAATAAAATTTTCACAGTAAGTTATTGACCTTTACATTCTTCATCAATCCTGCTATCAGTGATGTCTACAGATTTTATTCTATTATTATAACATCTCACCTGAAATATGTAAGCCAAATGCTTTTAGCTTGTACCCAAATATGTCACAAGATACATAAATTACAAAATGTAATCCCCAGAATGAAAATGTTCATCCGCTGGCAAAGAATTCATCTCAACACAAATGAAGCTAAATGAAAATTTAATGCAAGGAAGAATGATGATATAAATCCTATATAAAGCACATTGAAATGTACATAATTTTATATAACACCAGTCAAAGTCCACAAAAAAATGCAGTTAAAAAAAACCTTTTTTTTTTTTGCTTTTTTTAAAGGAGAAATCAAATATCCATGCAGTGTAATATATATATCTGTAGAGGTTGCTACATCAAAGTACTGTACCATAAATTACCCTGGTATTACAGGAACAGTTTAATGAGATGTAAATTGAACAATGTGACAATTGTATTTATTCAAGGTAACTGGTGTGATACCTGAGAGCATGTAATGTAAGAGGTAGATATATTAATGATGCATCAGATAAAAGAACCTCCCAGTATTATCAAGATTTTTCTTTACCTCAATCATTTACCTTTTGTATGCAAGTATGTTAAGTTTAATGAGGGTGTATTTACCTTTTCAGGTGGGGGGGGGGGTATTGGACCCCAAATGTATAATCATTCATGCCCTTTCAACTTTTATTTATTCTATTTTTTCTTATCTCTGTGGCCAAAATGTCAAACCAAATCTTTTTATATAGAGCCAGGCAAGCATGATCTCCCATACTGTATGTCACCACCATACTCTATACTGCTAGGCTACAGAAATTGAGTATTTTTATATATTGAAATCACTAAAAATGATGATGAAAATTCCAAATTCATGATATATCAAGTCCTTTATATTAATTAAGAGTAAAGTAGATTTCCGATCATGTTAACATTGTCAGGGTTATACCATGATTTTAGACTTTCAGCAGTGCATGACTCTCAATGCAACATTTCAGGCACTTGTTAAAGCACATAATAAGAATCATTGACTTGCAGAAGTCAAATGGAATAAAGACTTGTTCATTTCATAGGAAACCATATGTATAAGTAAGGATAATAAACAAGCCTTAAAAAATTCTAGGTTAAAGACTTTTTTTACAGGAATTGATATATAATATAATAATCAAATTTCTGTAAAAACAGTGTTTTTTACTTGTAAATTTTCTCTGAATTATGCAGTAAACTAGCAAATGTAATGTTAGCATTGAGTGCTCTTCATAAGCCTCAGCAGCTGGCAAAATAACTGTCTTCTACTGAATGTACAAGTGGCTACTTATGCAAAACTTTAATAAAAAAAATATGCTTTAAAATCACTCAGGTGATTAACCACTTACTGCTTTCACATTTTCACCGTCTACATTACGGACAACATAAAACATTTCTGATAATTGTATCATTTTCAGATTTTTTTACATCATATCACCATATAAATCCACTCATCTGATTTCACATTTATTAAGAACCCATTATATATAGATCTGAAGTTCTGCTCCTACTGAATAATTCCACTGTTTATTCTCTATAACAATAAATAATGCAAGCAAAGAACCCTATCTAGCTGTTTGAAGAATAGATAATGACCTCAGCAGTCTAATTAATATCCATAAATCACCCTACAACTTCACTTGTTTTCCATTGATTAAATTCTTGTGGTTTTTTATTGGCATGATCAATATAAAAGTATAGACCAGTAGTAAAACAAAAAACAAACACTCAAATTTATTTCACTACAAAAGTTGCTCATAATATTTTAAAAGATCTGTGTTTTATTGAATTTAGTACAGATTAGATTGCCCAATATATTTTGAAAGATCTGTTTTTAATGAATTAAGTAAAGATTAATTAAACAAACGTCAAAACAAAATATTGAAATACTATCAAGTCATCAAAAAAAAGTGTGATCAAGTCACCAAAAATCTAAAAAAAAACCTTTGATTTTCACAACAAGAAACAACTTCAAATGATAGCTTACTATACAGTAAGTGATGTACATTGTATTTCACTGATAAAAACCTAGCACTTTACTAATTATCACAATATAAATACAAGGTACAGTCACTTTCCCTTAAACCAACCATTATCATCATTATCTTCCCCTTTCATCATGACATCCGGGGAAATAACCATTATACCTATTCTTGTATGTATACAAGACAATACCACACGCAATACAGAAAAATAAAAACAATATCCTAATGTTTATAGGTATCCAATATAAACAAAATCACACAAACGCAAAGAAAAACAACAGCAAATTACATGTACCGTGCAATTATCATTAAGTACTAATACATTACCTAAAATTACTTAAACTGACAGTATTACCGTTAGTAAGTATATACCTTGTTAATGAAGTCATTAAGTGCTAATGAGCCTCGGGACACAAGTGTGTAGCTAGCAAGGTGAGCTGATTATTTCAGATAAAATATTTATTGACACAACCCCTTAAGATAACATGAATTTGGATTTTCAACAGTCTTTGATTAGCCCTGGTGTTATACATATTTTATTTGCATGTCCTTGAAAACATTTCAACACTGTCAACATTGGGAAAGAAAATGTACAGAAGAAAGTTATGATCACAGTTAAATGAACAGGTTAACAGGTGATCAGGGAACATTTGTCATCTTATAGGGAAGAAAATTTCTCTATCTAAAATATCTATCTTATCACCAAGGATCTGATCAATTATTCATTTCCTTGAAGACTACATTAAAAACCTGCCAAGTTTTGAAATTTGAACAGTTATTATAGGTTAAAGCTAATTTTCATAAAAATTAGAAAATGTATTTAAAAGTGAAAATTTATGAAGTGAACAAAGAAAATAATTTATACATTGCAAGTAGCACTTGAAACCCATGTAACTTACAAAAGAGAGGTAAGAATAAGCAAAAATAGCCCTTACTGCAACATTTACGCAGTAGAAATATGGTGATAAATGCTACAAAATCAGTCCTTTATCCCACACATGTAAGTTATTACTGAATCTTAAATCTTTTTACTTTTCTTAAACTCTTAGAATATTTTTCTTTAATTTTCTTGAAATATCTTGGCTCATCTGGAGGCATGCAGATTTAAGTAATTTTTCCTTATCCATATACTGAAACTGAACCAAACATAAATGATGAGTAGGCTGGCATGAGTCTATACCTGTGAGAAGTTACGGGGAAACAATTGTCATTAAAACTAACTTTAAAGCAAAAGAATATAGAATCACTTAAAAAATGGAATAATGCTTTTTTTCTTTTACCTTTTTTTTTCCTTAACCTTATTCTTTTTTAAAAGTTAAACAAACTTTCACAAGTTTAACAGCACTATTACAACTATATGATGAGGCAAACATTATCTGATCATAAAGATGCAATAAGATGTGTATCTTATCAAGTATAGATCATATCTTGAGATGAAAATAAATTTTAGTGTTAAGATATTGAATCACATTAAAACTGGTTTAGCTTGTTTCTCAGATGTTTTGAGTCGATAACGTGGTGGTTCTGTAAACAATTGCTAAACAGCAGTACAACTTTTCTGGAAGTAAAAAAAAACCTGCCACATTTCCTCTCACAAACTTTTCGTTTTGTTCATATTTGTTTAAAATAAGACAACAATACAATCTTAATACTTACATCATTATATCCCCTTGATTCTGCACTACCCAATTCTGCCTCCATACTGTCGGCCATCTTGGGCTGAGCTTGCAGCTTCTCCAATTTTTCTATTTCTTCCAACTCTAGATTCAAATGCTGTAAGTTTAAAGTAAGGTCACCTTGTTTGTCCGATTTACCACATTTTTCACTGAGATCAAGATTTACACTTCCAGAACCATTCACTGATACATCGTCAAGTCCGAAAACTTTTTCAATATTTTTACGAGCTTCGTCTTCTTCTTTCCCATCCTGCTCCTCTTCAATTGTGTATGTACCAGCCTCACTAACTTTATCTTCCTCCTTTTTAGGAGTAACCTCCTCATTGGATTTCCTCAGAACAGAGACAGGCACTTCTTTCGATCGGATTTTTTCTACTTTTGCACTCTGAGTAAGATCTTGTGATTGAGTTTTTCTTGACCGATCAGTGTCATATTTAATAGCTTCGTGATACATTTCATATTCTGTACCGGAAGCTCCGCTGACTTTGGTTCTGAGACTATCCACACTTCCTGTTGAATTATTTTGGAACATTTTATCAATGAGATAAGAGGCTTTTTCATTGTTATATTGTGTTGAAGAGGCAAGAATCTCCTGGCTAACAGCTTTTCTTGCACGTATCACAGATTTTGGCTTTGACTGACTACTATTAGACGCAGGTACCCGCCTTTTTACAGCTGATGACTTTGTTCCTAAAATACAAAAGAAACCAAATGTAACGACAAGAGATTGAGCAAAATTCTCAAAATTAAAACAAAACTGAGCCTAATAACATTGAACATATCAATCATTTATAAGATTGCTTGTTTATGTCTGTCTCTGGAGGATGGTTTGCAGATATTCTGGTATATTATTACAGGCATTCTCTGTATATCTGTAAAGTTCAGTAGATCACAAAATAACTGCCAGCCAAAATAAACATTATCAATACTGCAACCTGCAGATATACCCATTTCAAATAAATACCATAAATTACAAAGGGGAGCTTACTCATTTTACCTTATGACAAAATAAATTAAGACTATTTCAGTGCTTTCCCTTTGGTATTAGATTCTTTAAGATGATGAATCATCAAAGTTTGAAGAAACCACATGTTATGATAAACATTAAGAAGCACAGTGTGTCAGTTTTAACTCCTATTCATAAATAAATGTGAATTCAATTTATATTGACACATATGCAATACAAGACATCTAGACTACTGAATCAAGTTTAGGATTTATAATCAATATTTGAAAAGGGTGCACATCTTTTTCATGATGATAAAACTTTCTTTTTATAATTAGATTCATATAAACATGTTTATGATCTTGCTTCAGTAAGCTAAACTGGAAAACATTGATGTGAATGAACTTTTAATGAAATGAAAAAAGCATTAAAACAACATAATACATCATAAATAAACATTTAGTAAGAAGTGACACTTCATGGTCCATTTCCATTTAGTATCAATTTGTATACATCAAATAAAGTTTTACAGCTTATAAAAGTATTCCCTCAATCACATTCATTTATAATGAGCAAATGTTTAATGCTTAGCCCACAACTTCTCCTACCCAAGCCACCAGTGCAGACCAAGATCAGCCAGCACATCAGTGTCATCTGATCATGGGCTGCACTGTTTGCTATTCAGTCAATAATTATTTTGAAACTTTCCCTAATAATGATAAATAATTGTGTACAGATATTTAATGTGGCAAGAGTTAAAGAAAAATAAGAAATTGAGTCAAATATCTATAGACTATCATGATAACTTTACCTTTTGAGAAAGAGCTTTCAGAATGATCATCATCCATGCTCCTAGATGACGATGATTTACTAAGCATTTTCAAGCGTTTATTTGAAGCTGATTCTGGTGTTGCAGAAGTGTTCCAAAGTTCATCAATCTTGTGTTGGTGGGTAGGTGAAATATCCCGTCCCTCGGACACAGCCCGACCTACAACTTTATTCGTGGACTGTAAATATAAAAGAATTATTATACTATAAAGTTTTCCTCAAAAATTGATATTATGATTTATTTTTTTTTAGGTCAATATACCATAATATATTGTATACTTTTTTTGTGGGGTGAAAAAAATCTTCAATTAATAAAATTCCAACCATTCCCCCAATCCAAATATCCAGCAATAAAAAAATGTTGGATAAGCTATGAAACAAACCTGGAATATACAGGAGCTAATAACTTAGCCACTGGCTCGATTATTGATGTTTTTCTTCATATAAATACATGTGAACAATCTCTTGCCTTTAAAACACTTTTTTTTAATTAACACAACATACAAGTGTTAAAATAGCAATATAATTAAAATTTTGCATTTTTAAAAATGCCATATTTAATAATTCTCTTAGCCTTGATTATTTTTATATTAATTTTTTTTTCAGTTCTGTATCATTCATGTTTGTAAACATTATAACTAACATAGGTTGATGAATATAGATAATAACCCTATCTTGTTACATCTTACCTCAACAACTATAATTTAACCATCGTAAAACATTTAAGTGTTGTTTTTAATTTACTACTTGATGGTATGTGTTAAATCTTTTGTGTTGTAAGTTTCTGAATGAATATTTTATGACTTTTAAAGTGTTCTTAAAAGTAACAAAAAGAATGTACACAGACAAAATTATGTTAAACTTTCTAAAATCAAGACTTGTCCAGGGTACGCCCCACTTTTCTCATTGCTGAATGGTTTAATTAAAGTAGCCGAAAAAGGGGGCATAACTTCTCAAATTTTTATTTTAAGACTATATGACCCTTTGAAATGGCATCACATTTTAAGACTGAATATTTTAACTTTAGGGAAAATGGACGTTAAAATTAACCAACACTAACAACAACATATAGGTCATGACTATAGCTCCAATGTCATAGAAGAAGACTAGTGGTACATTGTAGTTATAAGCAAATATTTGATAATGCTGCCAATACCTGTCAATAATTTGGGGACACAAAAAAATGAATATATATACTACAGACAATGCCTTGGCTATGCCAGCAGTTTGGACCATGGTCAGCCTGCATTTCTTATTTGTCCAACATCACCAAATGTATTTACTTAGATTGCAATGTGAATAACATTTTACAAACTCAATAAAGGACAAGTTCAGTATAAAAGCAGTATGGTAAGTATATGAATCATCAGTTGAACCCATCAAAGATGTTCAGTGTCTGACACTATATTTTACATCTCATGTCAACAGTTCAAGTCAATGCAAATTTCAATGTGACAATTTTGAGCTTATAAAACTGTTATTCTAATACAAGATGAAGAGGCAATTTGAGGTCATTAGTAGGCTACTGGCAGATTAAATGTCCAGAATAAACAGTCATTAGCAGAGTGTTAACAAAGGAGACTGTACTGTATCTAATACTACAAAAAACATCAAACAAAATATGAAGATTAAGACCATAAGTAACATATCCTTATTACATTCATTATAATCATAATCAGACATTCACTGTATAATGCTATGGGGATAATGCAGAAAATGTTTGTTCATTAACCTGATATAACACTGTACAAAAAAATCCTAACAAAACCATCATATTTTACAGCTTAACACATATTATCCTTCTGTCTCTTATTATAGAAAGATAGTTAAGGCAGTTCTAAGCTACCACGAGGTATGTTGCTTTTCTTTTTATAAACAGAAAGGAAATGAAATTTGAAATCATTTCATTAGGATATATAAAACAACACACACACACCCACCTCCTTCCCTGAAATGTCACACTCAGCAATAAGTCGCAATAGTTGAATTTTTGTCATGACATGTATATTAATTTGTGACAATGTAATTTTTCATTTTGCAAATTTTGAAAAACCAATGTATGTATACTTACATTAGTAGTGGATTTTTCTTGAGGAATTTTCTCCTTGCTACTTGACTTAGATGGTGTTGATAACTTTTCAGAAGTTTTCTCCTTTCTTTCTCTAAAACTTTTCCTCAACCTTGATGGCATAAAATCTCCTATACTCTTGCCCTCAAGTTGATGCTTAGACTCATCCCCAAAGTCCACTGTAAAAGCCATATTAGTAATACCCTCAGGTGTTTTAGGTTGAGTAATTGGCACTGTAGAATCTTCAGTTTTTGGCACATTGTTATTAGTGAGAGTAGCATCATGGTCTGAATGTTTATCCGCACTTGTTGAGACACTGGTCCGAGATTCCTCCGATGTCACCGAGGCTTTACTGGACTCTTGATCCATACTGCTACCATTGGATCTTAGTTTTTCTGAAATTAAATATGCCGTTATTATTTACTGTATTTTTATAAAATGATGCTCATGTTGTTAACTTGATGTAAACCTAAGATGGAAAATAAAAGTTTGAAATAAAAGATTACAAAACTTCACATTAGTGCAGTAACAAGTTAACTCCTTAAATGATTAAACAGAAGTTAACCTGTTATTGCACTAAGGTAACAAAATGTAAGGTATCCATAGTAATAAAATAAACAAGATACAAGCAACTGACACAATTTAAGTTTTCTGACCTTTGACCTTGTAAAAATGTGACCTTCACCCTTAAGCACACTCAGTGACATGCAGATGATAACTTTCTTATTAAATTTGCGTAAAGATTCAATAATATAAATCAACTAAACAAAAATTATATCAACTGACTTAATGAAATTAAAAGAATTAATGAAACAATACTTATCAAAGGAAATTAGATGAAAACCAGACAATAAAATTTGTTTCAAAATAGAACATTATTTTCGAGAAAATGAATAAACTCTTTCAAAATATGAAAATGAAAGACTTTTCTTTAATACTGTCTGGAATATTTCCTTAATCAAAAAGCGACTGTATCATCTAAACTAGCTAAGTTACGTGGCCTTGCTATGGTAAAATCACATAAAGTTTAGATCTAATTAGCGCTGTTGTTAAGAATATTTGCAGAAACAAAAGATATAAAAAGTAACTGTTTTCTCATTTTCTCATGAGATATTATTGTTTTAATAAGCAGCCACAAATTGTAGACTGTTTATTAAAGTTGCATGTTATCACTTTATTAAAAATAAAAGCTGTATACATTTACTTATAAATCATACCTGTCAGTGACATTTTTAATTGTTTGTTTTTTATGAAACCTCTCATTCTTTGACCTCAAAATACTTAAGATGACTAATCCAGGTCATATAATTTATATGACTATTATTCACAAACATGCTTATAGTAAAATTTTTCTTTTTTTCAAAACCATCCTTTAATTATACTTGTAAAAAATATTGAATTGTCTATTTATTACAGTAATGTATCAAGAAACCAAGGTATCGTGTACATTTTATTTGTTTTTATGAAAAAAATAAACATGCTGCCAGTCTCTCAAACCAAAAGCTTCAGTTTTTTAACCCTTAATTTGACACATTTAAGATACTTAATATAAAGCAAAGACACAGTGATAAACAGCAAAGAAAAAACCCCACAAGATTCATTACATAGACAGAATAATATTTAACACGAAAAATAACTGTCACTTTTTGTTATAAATCTTAATGAATTTTAATTTTATTTCATTTCAAAACAAAATGCAACATAGCTATTGTATGGAAAATATATTTGTTTATCCCCCTAATTTTCTAATTCCTACATACATTATTCCTATACCATACACATTATTAAAGTTAGTAACAAACTAGCCGAAATACAAAATATTTCTACAAAAAGAGAGAAAAACTTACTTCTAAACGCTGCCCTTACTTTCCCAATCATTTTATCTGAAGTATTTTCAACCGATTTATCAATGATCAAACATAAGTTTTCAACAATTTCTTTTGCCAACCAGAAATCATGCATACAAAATCCAATCTGAGTAATATATCTTATAAATCGACACAAGTATGAATGGTATATAAATTGAAGAAAGAGATAATGTGTATTAGTCCCTATCTAAGTAACTAGCGGTATGTATGTGCTGTGAATTAAATCAACGATTAATTTATGTCCGCTCTTTGTCCACAGCCTAACCACCTAGTGTCTCCTTAGGAATTTAGCAATGGCAAGCCATCAATTTCAAAGGTCACACATTTGTTAATCTCCTAAAATCCAGGGATGATGATAGGGGTTCAGACTGTTATTACTTCCACATCTTCACGTCCTGTCTAAACTGACCAGTAAATTGAAATGACAATAACACCAACCAGTCTATATAAGGAACAAAACCAGAGAATCAATGTAAAGACATGACTACCGTCTCCGGTTACTATAATATTCACTGAATCAGCAAAGACATCTTATACCGCAATCAATACGTTAGCTTATATTACAAGTATTAATTGTGTGACAGTATGCAGTATTATATCACACCCTACATCATATTACCGTTGTTGTTTTATAATTAATTAGTTTTGAACATTAAGATATTCGATACATTGATCATGACAATTACTAATTATAGTCAATATTTAATATTTTGGTTATGGAAATTTGGAATTTGCCATAGTAACTGTTAATTTCAGCCTTTAAGTCGAGTTAATAATTATAATGGTGTTTCCTCATTTAAAATTTTTGATTTTTATTAAAAAACATCAGTTCAAGTGAAAATGATTTTATAAGAAATGTCTATACCTAAACTGAATGTAGACTACAGTATTTTATCATAAAGTTTAAGACAATTACATAAGGGTGGAGGGAAAAGTATGAGTTCACATATGATCACTCCCATAAAACATGGCCTTGAAAAATATATTTACTCCATGAAGTTATACCAGAATATTTTGTTTTATAAGTTCGTAACTACCTTTATATAACCTAACGGTTGTTTAAATATACCTTCCTAAATTAATTCATTTGTTTGTGCTAGCAGGGTTTACCTAGGAATGCTATTTTCACAGTATATCAGTTATTTCAGGTATGTTGGATAACTTAATTGCTTATAAATTCATGACCAGTTTTAATTAAATATTTATTCTATATAATTACCTCTCCCCTTATGATTCAACCTGGTGAAGAACAAGGTATTATATCTTAGGGTTCACAGACCATTTCACAGAAAACAAACTATATGATAAGAAAGGGAGAGACTGGTACAGCAGTTAATACAAGATGTCTGCCTCTCATTATGCAGGGACCATAGATTCAAGTCTTACTTGGGACTCAAACATGTTTCATCATATAAAATCAGTACTGATAAGTCCAGGAATCTGACTTGAAAATGATATATATTATCATTATCAAGTTAACATCATATTAAATCAACCCTAAACCAACTTAAATTCTTGGACTTGACCAGCTCCTTTTTTTTAACCTATCCATTATCAAGATGGAAATTGAACAGTAAGAAGCCTGGTCTGGCTCTATAATGGTGACAAAGGCTAATCACTTTTAGTTCCAGCATGAATGATTTTAGACAGGCAGTTAGAATCTACATGTTGAGTGTTTAACAAGATTAAACACTCACTGTTACACTAAAGGACAAGTTGTAAAAGTGATTCTATGACCATGTGACCTGTAAGCACTGGAACAGCATGCCATGTGATGCTATGTCTATAATAATATGCCTCCCAGGTCATGACTGAAACATTATTGAAAATAGGTGATGGATCAAACACAAATTAAAGTATTTTTCATCAATAATATACAGGATAATTACCAATATTGAGATCAGATTCCTCTTCACCCCACCACTCTGGTTGACCATACAGTGGAGTCCCTTTCTTAACCGTTTCCAATTCTGAAAATATACAACACACCTTTGAATTGGTATTATAAACTTTTATAACCCCTGCAGTTAGACAACATGGTTAAAAAGCAAAAAAATAAAAAACACTGAAAAATGTTTTCAGCAATTTTTATAGCAAACTATAGCACACTTGCATTATTTGATTAAAATGAAAGTAATGTAGTCATTGTTTATGGATGATATACAAGTCACGATTGTCCAATAAAAATTGATGTTACAAACATGCAGCAGACATACAAGGTACTATGTACTTGTAATCTGATTTTACAACTACATTGTGCACAGTAAGCAAATTCCATAATATGCTAGACTATAAAGTATTTACTTCCTAAAGATTTTCATTCTTGATGCATATGTTATAATAGGAGGAGTCATTTTACAATATCTTCATGATTAAAAACAAGTAGAACCCTTAAAGGCCAATTTTCATTTTATACACACAAATACATAAACAAGTGAATAAATCTCAGAGGCATATTCCTAACAAATGTTTTTTTTAAATTTCTTCTTCCATTTTGCTTTCAATGTCACATCCAGGATTCCTCTGGTAAAGACAAAGAATGTTCTATATTTGCCTCATGAAGATTTGTTTATTGTTCAACACTTAGGCAATAAAGCCACTAGGCCTTCGCATGCCATTCAACCAGACTCTTTAATACTCCTAGAAGCATAATTTTTGTATTTTAATATTGAAATCCCTTAAACTTCAAATGGAATGTTCCAAATTCAAAGCAAGGCTAATCCATTCCACAAATTTGGCAGGGTTCCCTGGCTATCTGACAGACAATGCTACTATAAGAGTAACACATAAAAAAGACAATGCTACTGCAAGAGTAACACATAAAAAATGATTATCTCATAATGCACCTTGTGCTAGAGACAGTTCATCTGGGGATATAAACTTAGAGAATGAATCTTTAATTTCCTGTCAGGATAAATTAGACTTTAGAAGATTACACTGGGTAGTAAACATTATTAGTGTCTGCAGTTTTCTGAAACCAATGTCAATAACTATCACCTTGAGGTTATTACATGTGCAGATTGTGCAGAAAATAATTCCTAAAATAGAAATGAATGCAGCTGTTAATCCTAATACAAAACACATGATTTAAAGAAAATTGAAACTTGAAACCAGATAGAAATGCCAGTATCTGATTGGTTAAATGTTAACTAGCATTTCAAACTGACCAATAGGTAAACTCCATTTTCAGAGTAACATGTCTTAGATTATTCTATTAAAAGAAACACACTTGAAAACAAGTAAGAAAACAAAAACAAAATGAATTTATATTTAATTATATTTCAGGTTCAAAATGGCTAACAGCAAAGGTTTTATTTTTTCACCCCAGATAAATGATATTGTAAAACATCAATTAACTTGATATCACATAATAAAAGAACACAACCTAGTAAACAGACAAACATTATTTCTATACCTTATTTTTAAGGTAAATATATTTATACCTATGTGCACAAGTAAATACAAGTTTAGAACAGACATTACATTCACACATGGGCACACTTCATATAAAGCTAGAGATTGCAATCTTGACTGGTACACAGATCAATGTAATGTCACCCTTACAGCTATATACTTAACTTGGTAATAAAAATAAAACTTGTGAAACCGATTAACAGTTATCTGCATAAAATCATCTCCCCCTATAAGCAATATTTCAATTTAAAAATAGGGCAGACTAACAAACACAATGAATGTAGATCAAAGAAAGTGAAATGGACCACCTATTACAATGGAGTTAACAAAAGATATATCCAAACCAAATCAACACAATATCACAATAACTAAATAACCAGACTAGTTCATGTCATTTCATTTATTTGTTCACAATAAAAACTCTGTCTACAGACCATGATTCTTCATTAATCACCTAAGTAGACATGACCAAAAGCTTTTCTAAGGTACAAGTTTGTTACAAGTATGTAGGATGACCTTGGCTACTCTTTTCACATAATTCTTTTTATTCTAATTTGGTTGAATTTCAATACTTTCCTGTTATGCACCTTCTGTTATGCAGTTTCAATTCTCTTACCCAGTCAGGGTTGGTCTTTAAAGTCAGGCATTTATTTCTTCAGTAAATTTCTTTCTCTGATTTATCTCTATATAAAACATGTTATTAGAGATGCCATAATGACTGTCTTGCACAATATGGTATATAAGATGATACTGCTTAACAATTAAAATGCCTTATATTTCCACAGAAAAGCAGTAATTGTCAAAAAACCACACTTCCTTACTGCTGCTACCTGGTAATTCTATATTTATATGAACGCCTATCAAAGCCTTGCTTTTCTTCAATGATACTCATAAAGCCAGATAATTTGAAAATAAATTTGAGATAAATTGTCACATGGAGAAGTACAGTAAGTGAGAAATCGATCTGTCAGCACGTTCTGAAACTTCCAGAAAAACAAAGCACTCTACTTTAATGTGTCTCTACATAACAACAAGTATGACTCATACAAGGTCCTCAGACATGGAAATTATAGAAAATTATCCATCAAGTCACACAATATCACCACTGAGAATCTTCACCTAAAGACTTGCCTATGGGAGCTTAGAGGTCTCTGGTTCAATCCTTGAGCGAGGCAAAATTTCTCCATGATCATGTAACTGTTTTTAAAAATGTTTATTCTAAATCTAAGTATCTTTACATATAAACAGAGTGTGTATGGCCTCAAAGAATATAATATCAATTTAATAATATGATCTGTAAGTTTTAAAATTTACCAAATCTGACGGATGAGTTAATCCATATTTAACTTGTGCAGCAAATGAAATGTCGAGGTGGTTCTTTTTAATGGCCTGACAAATTTGAATATTTAAAAGATTTTAAATTGCACTGTAGTCTTGTAATGTAGTTATGTTCACTAATGACAATATATACATGTAAACTGTCATTTTTTTCACTTGTGTATGTATATATTAAAAAATCTGTTTTAACTCTGTAACCTTTATTCATGAGTAACTTCAATCATGTTAATCGAATTATGTCTGGTCTGAAATAATAACCTTTAGGGGTATTTACAAAAGCTACTGTTGAAAAGGTATAGTATTTAGTATATTTTCCCACTTACTCTACAAAACTTGAGACATAACATAAAAGGACATTAGTTCCAACTTCCATATTATGCATTCATCCAATCGGGTACAATTACCTTACCTGGCTGTTGTGAAGTTGTTATATTTTGTTGTGATAATTTTTGTCTGGCAAAAATATTTATTGTAAATCCTATTGGTTTAATATTCTAACAGTCCTTCCTGTAGCATAATGTTATGATCATTTTAATATCAATGTAATTTAACAACTTTAAACACTACATTTATCAGTTGATCAACTGTCAAGTGGTGACAAAGTATGCATATCTAGATGGTAGTTGCTTGTCCCCTTATATCATCACCCAAACAAAACAGTCAGAATCCAAATTTCTCAGAACATCTTACTGACTTCATTACTCTCAATGAATAATTTAAAACAATCACAAACTTATTCTCCTTTGTAGATCCATTTCACCATTCATATGAACAAATGAGAGGTTCAAATACACAAGTCCTAAATTATTTCCATTTTAGACTTGACATAAATCCTTCACTTGCTAGTATATTATGCAATACATAAGTGACAATTAACTTATTACACTCATACACATGTACAATCACACATTCCAACATAATCTATTACAGAACATGTTCCATTTATATAATCAAGTCATACCTTTTTTTACATCAACTGGTAAAAAAGTAATTTTTCTGCATATTCACATATCACAAAAGTTGCTCCAGGTCTAGCTCCCTAGAAAAATGTTACTCTGCAACAAATGCCACTAGAAATATCAGTAAAAGTTTCCCCCCTACATTTCTATGACAGGAAGTCCCATACTGAGCGTTATTCATTTTCTAAAATTCTGTCATGAGTCATAGAACAGTTTGGAAAAAAGGGTCGTTTTTTGCAAAAGATAAAATGACATCTTATTCATCAAGTGCTTAATGGATTAGAGCAGAAATGAAAACAATAAATCAACAAAATGCATTTCACATTAAGCACTGTCAAAATGTCGGTGTTCAAAAATTTCCCAAAATGATGACACAAACTTGTGCAGGTTATTGCAATACAGCATGATTTAAGTTGAAATTATTATTTCAAAACTTTTTATGGGGCATGTGAACTACATTTTTCTGCAAGAACATAGCATAACATTGTTAAGAAACTCTAGCTTTGTTTATGTTTCTAAGCAGTAAGTAGTAAGTTAAAAGATGTTTTGCACAAACAAAAAACATTAAAGTAATTATGGTGGTACAACTTCAAAGCAGCATTTTCTGCAATAATTCAAACCATACATGTACCAAATGACTGTTAGACAGTAATAAAATGCAATATATTACATATCTAAGCAAGATATCTGCCTGAATAGCCTCCCTTTGATTAAATCACTGATTTTAAGTAGTAAAACATCAAAGAAACTTCTTTTGGAATAATATGATTTAGTGCAGTCTAATTTTCTTTACAAGTTCCATCACAAATGTAAGGCCAGGCTTTAAGGCACCTTAACAGTTTTAAAAGAGTTACCCTTCTCCTTACAAACTTTTGCAAAAAAAAAAAATTAATAAAGTATATGAAAAAGAAATAATTTTTTTATTAAATTTTGTCCTTTATTGTCCAAAATGAGGTTTTAGAAATTATGGTGAAACCATTATTAAAAACAGAAATTACAAGTGAGAAACTGTGCCTTTTATTTGAAAGTAGACATGTTTAAATGCAGAAACTTGTTCCAAAGTGGTCTTTTATTTTAAACATAGTCTGAGCAATTATTTCCTTACATGTGTACATGTGTAGTTTCTCCTGTATTGTTGAATGATTTTGACCTAATACTTATTACTAATTACAGGAAATCTACACGACCTTATTACAATTGTTGGAAGTCATTATAACAATACATTTGACCTTGATAAAAACATTAACAATTAACAATGA